TCGGGTAGGAGGGGGAGGAAGGAAAGAGGCCACCACCAGGTGAAGAAGAATCGAGACACCAGGCAATAAGAGAAGGGGGGATAAATAGAGGGAAGTGTACCCAAGGCTTTAGTTTTAGCAATGTTCTGTTTACAAGCTACATGTACCATGTAATAAAGAAGAATTTTTCTGAACCAAGCCTGGTTGCGTGAGAATGCTTCAGAACTGGGAGTTGGACATTGTGGACTTGACAGGTTAGACATCAGGACAGCTGTTCAATAATGGAACAGAGTGCCTTGGGCAGTGGTAGACTCTCTGTTGGAGATGTTGAGGGGCTATATGGCCATTTGTGGGGAATGCTGTGATACTGGATTCCTGCAATGAGCAGGGGCTGGACTAGATGGTCTCCAGAGTCTTTTCCAACCATTACATTCTATGTTTCCATAGGCCTTTGCTACAGTAAAATAAATAGAAGAATTCTACATCAACTCAAAGCTTGTTTAGCCCAGCATCCTGTTCTTACAGGGGCCAAAGAGATGCTTTGGAAACCCATAAGTAGGAAATAATTCTCCCACTCACATTCCTCGCTAAATGACATTGAAAAGCAAGGCCACAATTTTTCTCTGCATCTCAGCTGGGTTGGCAAACAAAGTTGATGGATCACAGAATGTTTTCCCTTCTCTGTTCTCAGGCTCTTCATTTTGTTAGAAGAAAAGTAATCACATAGCTTCCTGTTTGGTGTAAATCTTATCAGTGTTATTGTTGCTATCATTTCATCCACTGGATTTTATTAATCAGGGGGCATCTCATTCCAATGGGCAGGCACCACAACATAGAACGCATGCTTCTTGGCTCTTGATAGATGGCACTGTTTAATCAAAGGGGCCAGAGTGTGCCAACTCTGCCAATTCTTATTAGCCAGGCAGAAACCATGGAAGATAGGCAGTCCCTCAAATAACCTGGTCCTATGCCATGAAAGGCTTCATAGGGGATAATGAGCACTTTAAATCACACCCAGAAGCATACTGGCAACCAGCATAATTCATGAAACTGCATCATTGCCCACACTGTGGCATTCTGGACCAGCTGAAGATTCAGAATGGTCTTCAAGGGCAGCCCCATGTAAAGCACATTGCAGTAGTTAAGCCATGAGGTGGTTAGAGTATGAGTAACTCTGAAGTGCTTTCTGATCCAGGGAGGGGCTCAACTAGCACATGAGATGGAGTTGTGTAAAAGCTATCTTGGTGACAGCTGCCCCTGGTCTTTGAGCAGAAGCTCTGTTCAAGAACATTAAAGATTCCTAGATTGTACACCACTCTTGAATGGGGAACTGTAGCCCCATCCAAGATTAAAGATGAAAACTTCCCTGATCTGTGGACTCCTAAGATCCACAGTCACTCAATTCAATATGGTTAAGTCAGTTTTTCCCCATCCAGACCCACACAGCCAGGGTTACTGCTGGCATATAAGATGCCCTTGTGCAGAATTCCACTTACTGATCCCCTGAAAAGCATGTCTCTTAATATTCAAAATTTAGTAAATATAATTATAATTATTCAAGGCCTGCTGGGTCATGGGTATACAGTAGGTTCTGTCACTGGTTTTGACAGCCAAGTGTGCATCTGTGAAGTCGGTGAGTCTGTGTGGTTGATGTTGTATCTCCTCTTTTTTTTAATTTGCAAATGGTGCTCCCCCCACCCATGTAGCACCATTGTTCAGTGCACAATCTGCACACTGAGTTTCAGTGGCCCTGCACATAACCTCCAGGCACAGGACCTTGATAGTATCACTTAGCCAGCTCAAGGTCAAAAGATATAATTGGATATCACCAGCATATTGATGAAACCAAACCCAAAACCAGTGGATGACCTCACCCAGAGATTTCATGTAGATATTAAACAGTAGAGGAAAGACTGTAAAACTCTGTGGCACCCCACAAAAGAGTGAATCTCATCCAATCAACATCAACTGGGACTGGCCACAAAGAAAGGAAGAGTAGCACCATAAAAAGGACACCCACAATTCCCAAATCAGATCCCAATCCCTGCAGCTAGTCTAGAAGCTTACCATTATTGCCAGTATCAAAAGCCACTGAGAGATCAAGGAGGAAAAGGATGGATGCACCACCCACATCCTGGCTCCACCAAAGGTAATCTATAAGCACAATTAATGCTGTTGTAGAGGGAATAAGGAATGGCCTTGAAGGACAAGAGAAAGAGCCATTACCAAACTGACAAGTGGGCCTTGAGCCCATTCCAAGGAACTAGTTTGTGTAACTGTCTCAGGATCCTCCCTAGTTCACATTAAGATAAGATGAGGGAAGAAGCAGCTTATTCAGACTTGGAAGATTCTGTCACTATACCTGTTACTGTCCTATATGGCATTGGCTTCTTCATCTGCTCTACCTTACAGGACTGATAGCTGTCTCTGCTTTGAATCCTGGCCTGAAATCTGACTGAAACAGGTCTAAATAATCTGCTTCTCTGCAGGGTTCTCTGCAACTGCAGTCACAATCTTCTCAACTGGAGACAGGATGATAACTGTCCAAGAGTATTGGATAACTTTTTGATGAGGGGGCATACCACCACCTCCTTCAATGCTGATGGCAGCTCCCCCCCCCCCGAAAAAAGTTGATATCATAGCATAAGCCCAAGTACTTGGTCTCCTGGGTCACCTCAACAGTTCAGGAGGGACCCAGATCTAACAAGCATGTGGCCAAACTGACCATGCAGAGAACTCTATCCACTTCCTCAAGAGTCACCAAATCAAACTCATCTCAGATCATACCACAAGACTGAGCCCCAGGCACCTCAGCTGGACCTGCCAGTCAGAGTTCCATCAGTTTCTCAACAGTATAATCAGTACACATTTCCAGATGAATGTGCAAAAACAAAGCCACAAATACTAAATGAAAAGAAACAGGACTGGGAAAGTGCCATAAAGTACGTTTGCATTTTTGTGCAATAGTTTCCCCCACCCCAGAAAACACAAAGAACTTCATTTACCCTTCAAATATTTGTAATCAATTCTTCCCTTTAAACTTCCTTCAAAAGGATTTTTCCATTCCCCCTCATATGTGTTTGGGGATGGGATTTCATAATCATAATGAGATTGAAATCATACGAACAGTGATTTGGAAAAACAGTTTCTAGGATCATAGGACTGTCTTGTAAGTAGTTTCACTGTTCTAAAGTACTCATGTCACATCTTTATTTTAGGATCCAAATGTTCAGTACCGCTTTCATTATGTATTTCGAACCTTTTTGTTTTTTCAGGAAATCAAGCCATGCAGTTATAGATACTCTTAAGATGAGATACAGTCAAACCTCTCAAGCTACCCCCAAAACCTTGCTGAACATTTCTACCCCAAAATCCGCACCGCCCCATTCTCCAACTTAGCAAGTTGCAGAAAATGAATGCCCTTTTGTCTTAGAGATGTGACTGCATTAATATGAAATATAGGTATTGATATATAAAAGATCACATTAAAAGGCAACTTTCAGTCAAACTGGCAATGAAACAAAAGCCTTCTCTACCTTGCAGGTCAGCTTTGGCCAACTCAACTTTGTTAGCAAAAGAACGGAAAAAGCGAAAACAATAAATCAGAGTTAGTAAAATAGCAGATAAACCAGGGTAATGTCAACAAAAATAAACAGATGAAAAGAAATTGGGATAACCAACACAGCCCATATACACACTTAAGAGATATGGGGTGACATCATCAAGAGATATGAAGTGACACCATCAAAAACAACAGACACACACAGGTGGAGAGAGGTAGCCATTATGGCCTCAATCCATCATCAACTCCACAACATCAAACCAAAACAGCAAGCAACGTAGCATGGACTACTGGGAAGAGAAACAGAATGGACACATTTCTTACAGAAAGAGTAACACCAGAAGGAACATTAATGGTACATGATTCACCAATATTTATACATGAAGGAGCAAACAGTGAGACTAGTTTCCCATTGAGGAGCTTCCCATGCTCCATTAAAAACTGGATTCAATTGGAATAAAAAAATCTGGAAATCCATCTGCTTCCTTTGTGATGTGCAGATCCAGAAAAGAAAAATGTAGGTAAATTTCTTCCTAAGACCCACTTCCCATGTACGCTTTTTAAGAAGTTCAGTACAGTGGAATGTTGATGTTTTTAAAATAAGACAAAATAACATTATGTTTTATCCACTTCAGAATAACACATTCAGCAGTGATCAAAGGCACCTCTGACCCTGACATGACTATTTTATTAATTAGAGCTACCAGATCTGAGCTGCAAAAATCCAGATTATAACTAGATGGCATCAGAGTAAGAGTTTTCTGAATCTTTTTGTTGCCATCTAGTATTTTCCCAGATTTTTTGCACCCAGATCTCATAGTCCTTTATCTTGTAGTCAATCTATCTACTTTTGAATGCCTTTGATGTAGCTTTGCTTTTAAGATTTAGGTGATGGCTCCCCCTAGTAACACAGCTTTGGCTACTGTGAACTCTTTTTGTTCATACAGAGGGTAGATCTGTCCAACACCATGTCTGTTTTGATCATATCCCATCATACTGAAATATGTTCACATGGGGATGCTCCTGAAATGGAACTTGCTGTTACTCTGATCCTTTGACTCCATTCTGCATCTGCTGTGTGTATCTAAATGAAAGCACTATAACACATTTCAGCCTCTAAACCATAGATGATCTGAAGGATCCCCAACCCCACAAGATTCTAGTCATTTATTGCAGTCGCTGAAGGGGCTTCTTTTTCTATTATTTTCTGATGTATATCTGGTGAATACATGAGATAGGAGGTTTTCCCCATGTGGGAGTGAGATTTACGTGGGGCAAATTTCCTTTAGCATTTCAGAATGCTAAATTGATTTAGGAGGACTTTCTTGATTTAGGAGGACCTTTCATTCAGATTATCATCATCATCTTCGTCATCATCATCATTAACATCCATTTATATTTATGTTGTTATTTTACTTTTGGTGTGCTTATTTTTCTTGTACTTGGATATTTAGGATCATTTGCCAAAATGTAGCTCATAAAATACATAAATAAACATCAGCTAATGATGGCATCAGGGATGTGTTTCTGGAGTTTATGGTCTGTCATTCTAGTAGTTAATATCTGGAGTAGATTTGACTGCAGGGATTTCACTTATTCTGGGAATGTTGAGCTCCATAGATCTCCTGGAACACTTATGTTGAGATCCATGAGTCATCCTTCAAATATTATAGGAGCCGAGAAAAACTGGAAGCAGGCAACATTTGTATGTCTACAAGTAATGTAAAGAAAGTTTGTTATATGCTCTTGTTGTCCCTGTAAAAATTATGATTAGAATTTGGTTTCATGAATATTTTTCCACAAGATAAGGAATATTTAAACTCTTCTTTACAATGTGTCTCATGTGTCTTTGATGGAGTTATAACTGATGGAGTTAACACTGTTCTTGTTAATGGAGGTTTGTCTCTCCATTTCAGTTTCATGAGGATGCACTTATAAGAAAACTCGAGAAAGAATTGCAGAATGTATTCCCTTCTGTTGAGATCTCTAAAATCATGTATACTTAATACACACACACACACACACACACACACACACACACGCTGTGTGTATCTGTGTGGATATAGATATAGATATATAAATGATGCCAAGATAGAGGTAACAAACCAGTGCAAGGGGCAAAGGCAAGATTTTCCTTCCATTAACTTGTTAAGTTTCTACTGCTCTGTCAAAAAACTGATCTTTTAGGAACAAGTCATTCCAATACATTAATCTGGGATCAGTCTTGGGGTTCAAAGTTTCTTTCCCCTATTGCAGAAATTGAAGGAGTGGGGATGAACAAGAAAACATCCCATAAACACTCAATGAAACTAAAAAGGCATTCATATCAACACTGGAGAAAGAAATCTGGTAAAGTACTGACCCATCAGCTCCACTGGAGGGTTTATTAGACCTATTGAATGTTCACCTTTGGAATGCATTATTCTCACAGACCACCATCAACAGGGACCAGTGCTAAAACTGCAAAGAAGCCTTTACCTTCTAACACATTAGCATTTAAACAACAATCCTGTGCTCACTTGCCTGGTAGTATGATATCTTGAAAACAGTGTGATTTACTTCTATGGAGACAGAGATCTGTACACAGTGTAGCTCACTATGGCTCATCATAAAGCTTCATGTTTTCAACATTTGCTTTCTTTTCATTTTATTTTACTAATCATACCACAGTCATTAAATAGATTTTATAGAGTCAATTCTCCCTTGAAGGAATTCTTATTCTACTTTTTGAGCATCATCACTAAGCAGAGTGATAGAAGTTGAATACACTTTCAAAAAATCTAAGTGTTGCAATAAAAAGGAGCTGGGGAACTCGGAAAGGAAGTGCGTAGTCTATAATACCACCATATCATATGTCTTCTTTTAAGTAAAGTGGTGGGGTGCTTGGTATATGAATCTACAATAAAGGATCTTTTGGAGAAACCAACATTATTTCAGTCTTTCTGGTTAACAGGGGAGAAAAAGGAGGTTGCATTTTCACATTTTTGGTGACAAGAGATCTGGTGGTTCTGAGAGCAAAGCAGAACTCTGGATAGGCTAAATTTCCTCAAGTATATTCGATGATTTAGCTTTGGAGGATGGCCTGATGCTGATTGTTTGAAGCAACTAACAAATTATTGATGAAAGAAGAATGTCATAAACAAGTGGCACATACACACATATAAGTATTAGTATAAGAGTTATGGTTTTTTAATTATAATAATAATAATAATTATTATTATTATTATTACATCTGCTAAATCTAACCTACTGTGAATGAATTTCACTTGCTGACCCCAATGGTACAGTTACCAGAAGATATCGAGCCAGTAAAATCAGTATTCAGGATATATAAAATGCATTTAAACTGCCAGGTCAACAGAGACAGATTGAATCTAATTTTATTACTAATTTTAACAAGAAGAAAGACCTTACTTGTTTTTTAACATTTTTTTAAAGGTACTATTATTCTTGTCCATGAAGCCCCTCAATAAGAAATGGTGGAATAATTAATGGAAGATGCTCATTTTACTTAATATGTCTTATCAAAGACAATGATGGCAATAAGATGAGGTTGCTTTTCTTGTGAACATGAACTGTAATATGATGTGCATCTCCCAAATAAATATATACTGTATACTATTATTCAGTTTTTGCACTTCTGTGAGTTTTGCAATGCATTTTGTTGGTCCGGCATACAAAACTGCATATAGTCTGAGAAACTCTTACACCACAGCATGCACCAGAATCTTCTTAGGAAAATTTGTATATAGGGAAATTTGTGGGTAAAAATGTATGTGTTATGGAAAATTATGTACAAAAATGTCTAGGTATTTCACGTATATATTTAAACCAAAGAATCATAACTGGCTGCAGAAATGGAATAGAACTAATTTTTGAAATATTAAAGTTGTGGAAGTATAGGGAAAAACACACATTCATATATGCCTAAAAAGGTCATGGGTGCTGAATTTAAGAGATCATGGTGGTAACTGGAAGATGCTACTTTCTTATGTTTTTCTCTCTCTCTCATTCACTTTCTTCATCCCCTTCTTTTGGTAAACTATTTCAAATTAATAATTGAGGAACATGGGATTTTTTCCCCATTAGTTGATAAAATATGTTAGAGAAGAAGCTCCTAGAGTTTATCTGGAGATGTGCACTAACCCAGTCAATTCTATATCAATTTGGTTTTTAATTTTATGATTGATTTTGAAGTTAATGAAAAAAGAAAGATTCAAGTGGTTTTAAAAAATAACCCAATATAATTTTTTTATCTCATCCCCTTTACTATTAAAATTAATTTATATGGGTTATGTGGCTGTCCTGGTTATGATATAACTGTTTTTGTTCTAAGTAGTCCAGCCAGTACTGTGTATCTTTTCTGGTTAAGCCATCTTGTTATATGAATGAAAGTTCTGAGGTTTATATATAACTAATACCTAGAACATATGATTTGATACAGCCTTTTTGGCTTAAATTCCACTCATGTTGATTATGTCATCTCAAAGCTGAAGATCTGAGGGCTATGTGATAAGCGCTAGCTAAGACCAGGATTCTTCACAGTTGGATATGACAAAGCCTTAGCTTTGCTAAAATGTCCCTTTGGGAGTGAGCTGCCTACAAAGCATTGATCAATCCTTTCACAAGGTAAGCTGCCCATACTTCACGTTAACCATTGCCAAAGATCACAGAAACAGCTGCTTCAAATCCTGATAAGCACCCAGATCCATCACGATCTCAGTTATGGGATCATCATCAAATTTTCACTTAAAACTTCAGTCCCAGATACATATAGCAAATTCTCTCTTTCAGTGTATCACCCAGCTGTCTTTGGCCCTAAAGTGGGACTAGAACTCACACTCTCCTGGTTTCTAACCCAGTGCCTTAACCACATACACCAAACTGGTTCTTGTTTTTAAAATGGATGTTAATTAAGAAAGTAGTTGTGTAATCAGCAGTACAGTAGAAATTCTGATTGTAGCAAACTAAATAATCAGACAATCCTGTTCTGAAGAGTCCCACATAACACATATTTCACCAAAACATAGCTGTCTCTATATTATATAGAACAGCAGTAGTATAGTGCCCAAGAGAAAAAAATATGAATGGCACCAGGAATAGTTTGTTCAAGTAACACAATAACAGTAAACTCAGGTTCAGAGCCTTCCAAGCATCTGACCATCACTTTGCTATATCAGAAATTATCCATTGTACCTATCAAAGTAAAATGAGATGAGTCTCATATCCAAAGCAACTAATATAAGCTGTATAATTTACTACTCTGGAGTAGAAACATTATTTCTCCTGGCTCACATAATCACAATTTATTTTCTTCTTTATAGAGATGTAGCTATGCTGCCCCAAGGAGGAAAAGAAAAAAAAAGAAGACCTTCTGCCTTGTGGTATCCTAAATATTAACATGTTTTATGGCACTGAAAACCACTTATAGAACAAAACCTGTGCTCAGGTGCATCAAGTATTTTAGTGAGCTATAAATATATATATGGACATTGACAAGAGAGATGACAATAGGGGAAAGTGAAATACAGAAAGTATTAACAGTCATCTTATTAGGAATATCTTTTCACAAATCAAAAGTTGGATGATAACACAATCATAATTGCATTTGTGAGTTGATATATAAATTAAAACGAGTAATATAAAATAAATAAAAGTAAGAATCTTGTCTCTGTTCAAGCCACAAAAGATAACACTGAACATCTTAATTAACTATGGTATAGCTGCTTTGTGTTGCAATCATCTCTGACATTTATTTGTCTAAGAAGGTCAGTTTTAAAACTGATAGAATGCCAAAATTTATTTATTTATTTACTTACTTACTTCCTTTTTTGTATAACCCCATTCCTGAGGACTCTGAAATGAAGGATTGAGTCTAAAATCATGCAAGGGAAAATCCATCTGTACCATGAGTTTCTGTTCTCTTACCAACATAGTCGGCTCACCAATGTACCCTTAAAATCTGCTTCATTTGGTTGAGGATTTAGAGAAGTGCAAGGAGCTACAGATAGTACAGCCCCGTTGCATTCTGTAAGTAAAATCTGCTTCTGCTCATAAATATTGAGCAATGGCTTCTACCTATTAATACTTTCTTTTTAAAAGTCACAGTTGTTAAACAGCTAACCCTATAAGGGTCTGTGTCATCATCCAAAAATTGCTTTGTGAATAACCACTGTTCATAATAAAATTATCACCACTTGTACTATCTACCTTTCATTTCCCTCTTTCTTCACTGTTCCTCCCACTGTGCATATATACTTCATCCTTTTGATAAAGCTGATTCTAGTAGGGAAAAAAAGCTTATGGCATATAAATTCAATAGTCTTTAATAAGCCACCAATTTGTTTTTCCATTCTCTTCTTACAAGTAAACAAACCTGTCATATTATTGCTGACAGATGACACCAACAGCTGGTGGTCATTTCCCAAAAAGAGATATTGTAAGATACTAAAAGAAAAAAAATCCATATGTGAATGATTTTTTCCCTTCAAATCACAGCTTCTAAATATAAAGGGTGAGAGTAGCCAGTCACTGTGGGAGTGTTCCACGAAAGTTATTTGCTATACTAATATCTTATCTATCATCTTCCCAAGTCCCTGTTTCTTTCAGAAGTTCCAAAGTTTCTTTCATCATTCCAAAGCATTATTTCTTCACACATTCCACCCAAAAATCAAAACATGGCACAAAAGAACATGGTCTCAAAGTAGCTTGTTGTTTATTCCAAACTAATATAAAATATAAGAGACTGATGGAGAATTCAGCCAACTAACCAATTCATAGATCCCTTAGATGGCCAAATGAGAGGTTATCCAGAACATATTGTGGACCTGCCTTTCTTCCATTGTTTCTGCTCAACCCACCAGAACTAGCAGGCATGCTCCGGGCTCCCTCTATCAAACAATGTCAACTTGTTTGACCTAGGAGCCATGTCTTCTCTGTGGCAGTGCCATCTTGTGGAACAGCATCCCCCCAGAAATCTGCATGGCCCCAACCCTATTGGCCTTTCATAAGGCTTTGAAAACCTAGCTGTTTCTCCAGGTGTTCAGGCCAGAAGTGTTAGGCAAGCTCTGTTGTGGGTATGATTTTATAACAGGAAGGTATCATTTCTCTTGGATGTCATGGGTTATTATTTTTAATTGTTTGGTTTTAATCTTTGTACACCACCCAGAGTCACTGTCGTGAGAAGGGTGGCCATATAAATTATTTAAATGAATAAATAAAATATTGCACCATTCTAATAAGACTATTATTATGAGTAGAAGAATTATAATTTGAACTCAAGAGAACACTACGTGAAATAGGGATATATGTGGCAATTCGTGGAGACCAATTTGCATTGTTTCAGAAGTGTTGGGCACTTTCACAGAATTCTGTGGAAATGACCCAACTGGAAGAATAAGGTTCAGATAACTTTTGCTGTTTCTTATAATCATTCTCTGATGATGAACAAAAACTCCAACTGCGCTCGCGCTTGCTCTCTCTCTCTCTCTCTCTATATATATATATTTTAATCTGCGCTCAGTCATTACTGACTCTGCAGTGACTGCTTGGATGAGTCCTTGCAGTTTTCAAGGCAAGTGTTT